CAGAAGAGCAATTTTCAAAGTTTTTCTTCCATTGGAAAGGTCCATTTACAATGCCTTAAAAGTAGCCAAGTATGTTGATTTTCTACTTCCTTGACACTATCAGCACACGATTCATGCTAGATTTTCCATTTATGTAGCAGTGACAGTTAAGAGGCAGGGTTAAAGAGACTATTTCTTAGCAAAACGATTTTTGCAAATTATGCAGGTCAGAGTGTAACGATAAGGGCGCCCGTAGGGAAATCGACAAGACCGTTCCGATGCAGTGTTTAATCGGACTTTACGATGACTTTATTTGCTGGCTGCTGTGGTAAACTTCACAAATACTGGGAGGCACTTTTATCACGCTTGTAGTGCCTTATTTAACTCGAAGAGGAGTCAAAGTGACCAAAAGCTACAAAAATTCTAAAATCGAGATGAGGTTGCGTATAATTGCAAATACCTTATCAAAGGAACGGTAAAATAAAAACTCCATTTATTCCCTTCTTAATTTTTACCTTTTTTCCATTAAGCCATACGTGGTGGTAGGTCAATTAAACGGGCATTCGTGCATGTAGCTAGTCCACTACTGTTAATACCCTTTTACTCCTATCTCACCTATCCATGTTAATTCTTCACAACTTTATCCTTGCAAACAATCAGCATCCATCGCTCAACCCGTTGTTCGCTCCCTTACGAATGAAATGCGGTAAAGAATACAGCATTCAGATAACAAGCCATTTATGCGCACCCGTGACGTTAAACACTTACGGAGAGTAAATGGACTACCACTAAAGGAAGTAAAAGTTAACAAATACATTCTAAAATGGATTAAAAATAAAAACCAACAAATTAGTAATCGATATTGCTTGTAAACGCAATTCTCGAAGGATATATTTTTGGGTTCCAATGAGCCAGGTAGTAAAGGTTATGCAACTGAAATTTTTTAAGGAATAGGAAGCGATGCCATTTTAAGCTTGATTCTATGTCAGAGTTCAGAATAGTTGATGACGGATATTTATTCCAAAATGTAAACAGTCTTACCTAATAATCTTTTGGGTTGCCACTAAACCAAGAACTCGCTTAGATAAAAAGCAGAATCGCACTCAATGAGGGCATAAAATTTAGTGTAACTTAGATGAAGCCATGTTGGAGCAGCAGCAGCTATTACCATTTACTAATTTACTGTATAAAAGTAAAAGTGTAATGTACCACGGATCGATTCGTTCTAAAAGTCGATGATTGCAAGACATATTGGAAGGCGGCATTATAAAACCACAAAAGCTCGCTTTAAGACAATATTTTAGCTCCATATTACCATTAATAAGATTGATTTTTCAAGGAAATAACTTTTAACTGAAATAAGACATTAAAGAGTTAAAATATTTTGGGGGCAAAAATGTTCAACAGATAAACATACTATTTCGATTATCGTTGCATATCATCAAAAGGATTAGATTCTGCGACTAACCAAGTGTTGAGAAATAATGGTTTCAAGTTAATAGGAGATTAGTCGTCTCGGTGTTATACAGCCATTGATAAAAGAGTCAAGCGCGGCGAAATCACTGGCCTGAACACACTTGCAATCGTAACGTATGTAAGTATTTTTTTTAATTCGAGAAGATAAATTAATAGCAAATTAAATACAAAACCAAGTTGTTACGCCCTGGTTTTTATGATGTGGAGAAGCAATTTTGGTAAATAAAATGCACGTGAGATAAAATTTAGTGTATTTTGTAGTCTAATTTTTCAATTTAGCAGCAATATGACGATCTAGATCTTGATTTTTAAAGTTGAGTGCCTATGCTCTAATTACACTTCGTGTGCTCACCTGTGCCGATGAATTTACGTAGTCGTCTTGATATTTAGTGAGTAGAATTTCGTTTGATGAGCTTAAGGCCTGAATTTCAGTATTTCTTGCCTTTGAACTAGAGATAGCACATAATTTTGAGTGGGATAGCTTTTCTTTAACACTGGAAAATCACTTGTATTGCAAGACTTCCAAGAGATGTTTTGTTGGACACTTTGCAGTCTTGCACAGTTTACTATGGTTAATAAAGTGAATCAGTGGTGGAATATGTTGTTACATTTAATTGATACTAGCAAAGAGTCGCATTGATGCCAGGATGGCCTAAAATCGCACCTCAATCGTTATAGGGTCTTAAAACAAATCCTGCCCTTGATACGAAATCAGGGATAAGGCGTTGCGTTATCCGAGATCCATAGTTAACGGTGAGTTGGATACGTGGGAGCATGTGCAACAACTTTAATGCACTTGTGTGAATGCACAGTAGTTGAAAAACAAGGCGAGACTAAGTTTTTGCAGTGTAAGTTGAATGGAGTGATTGCTTTCGCGTCTACTTATTGAAGCATTTTGCATAAAGTACCCTTCATATCAAGCTGATTTGCCTAGTTGTTTCCATGTAGCGACAGCTTACTGGTGAGGAACACACCTAACGTTAAATAAAGCCACTTAACAGTCAGGATATTTCACGCTCTGTAAGCACTTGCAAATAACTTCCAATTAATTTCACTAGATTACTTAATCTGGTCTTTCGGTCTTCAGTATCTAAAATTTCACCCCAAGAATTGGCTTAGTGACCCATTTATTAACATATGTTCATGGACTCTACACGTTTAACAATTGGGCTTTTAGGTGATAGTGTAAAATTAACAGAAAAATTAGAAACTTCTGTCTTTGAGCCGCTCAATAGTAGCCCTACAGACCTTAAGCAAATAGGTCATGGATCACCGTGGTGATAAAACATAAAGCACTGATAGGTAGATTAATAAAACTACCCGAATTAAAGGACTTCGGCGGTTACGATATTGAAACAAAACAAATGCACCCTGCAATCTTGACCCTTGTCTTTTTGTTTTTCATAATAAATGAAGACTGTAATGAAAAAGTGAGGCCAGTTTGCTCCACTACCTGTCGCTAAAAATGCTTCTTCGGAAAGTGGCTCTCGTTTGGGTGGGTGAAAGACAGACAAAGCCGATGTGCAAAGACCGGAGACACCTTTTGTTATGGCATTCTGGAAAGTAAATGGATGCTACTGCTCTGCAGCTCGGGTAACTCGAGTCTTTCTTGCACTCCCCCTAAATACGCGTGCCCCTACAAAACGAAGACAGCAGTGCACAGAACGGAGATGGTGAACCATTTTTAGGGGAAAATTAAATAATAAAAAAGAAACACTGTACTTTACTTATTCTGGGTGTTCCAATTCAGCATATGAAGTTAACCTTAGAGGTAGGCTATTTCAGAATCTGGAACTGAAACCTAGTTCAATAATACATGGCTATATTGGAACCTTATCTGAGGTTGCGAACAGGAAATCAAAGGCATGCGAAACTAATAATCAGAGTAACATGCAAAATGGTATTAAGGTGACTAGAACTAGTAACTACGTGGACCAGCAATTTTAGTAGTGCATTGAATGAAATGGCTTTTATCAACTGACATTTTTCTCTAAATTTCGCATCAATGAATTAATTTCAGCGACAGTTGGATTCCGTTCGGAGCAACTTTTTAATTCTTTTATGCTCCTCTATCATGTGATGTGTGCGAAATCGGGTGACATTTGATATGGATTTAAACAGCAATCTTAATGCTTTTTTGCGTAAAAGATTTAAAATTAAGAGGAAGCTTAGCAGCGCAGGAGGGCAAATCTTTGAAAAAGGCAACCCTATGACTGACTACAAGGGATGAAACGTAGACTTGCGCTCCGATTTGATGAGTGCCTGACAAAAGACAAAACCAGTGTGAAATTGATACAATAAATTATTCCCCGGCTGTCACATCAACGTGGACATGTTGAAGTGAAACATCAATGCGATGAACACCGACGTCGTGCATTTTATTTACTCCTAGAACCATAACAAGCGTTGCCAAGTCAACAGAATTTGGCAAACTCACCCGCCTTGATCTGGGTTTACACTTATGAAATCTTAGCTGCACCCTTCCCAAATAAGGCGTCTGTCTTCTCTTGAATTAAAATGAATGATCTGAATCTATAGTTAAGGTGAGTATCAGAGCGGCTTTAAAGCTTACCTACATTTTATCCTTAATTTCACGACCAAGATCTTCATATATTTATGGAATAACTTGCGTAATGATGTGCTCTATTGGTAGTTGCATTATATGATTTCGTGTAAGTTATTAAGTTGCTTTACACTAAACAACTCAAGGGTGTCTGGAGGGGAACAAGAAGCCATTGGGACGTGATTTCATGGATTTTTAGGCGCCTTGCAATGAGATGTCGTATCCTAAATTTCGAAATTTCACCAAGTTATGTTCAAGTGAAATCTCCTCCAAGGGCTGGACTTTAACAAGACCAGGGAGAACGCCAATTAATGTAGCAGCACGAGGTGAATTCAGACTAGAGCCAAATCTCCAATCAGAGGGAGTTATGTTACATTCATTTGCCGTATTCTAAGGGAAAATACACAATTAGAAGATGATTAATAGAAGATAGTTTTTATCGCACAACGTAAAGCATTAAGTCATGGGTCAGTTCTGTCTGAAACATTTTTGTACGGACTGAAATCGCCGTGCGTGAGGGGAGGAGAGGAAAGGATAGAGAGGACGAAAAATGGAGTATCAAAATGTCGCTTTTTTGGGAAGGGAAAGTGGAATAGGCAAAGCGGAGAGAATGAAAGAAGAGGTGGGTATTGTGGACCTGTTCGTGTGTGTGTAAAAGGGCAGGGAAGATGTGCGTACATGGCCTTACTTCTGGTTTTTTCTGGTGTCTAGGTAAGGTAGGGACGCATAACACGAAAGCTGAAACGCATTGCTGTTGAAAATGGAATTTGAAATGGTGGTGCTTGTCTCATCAAGTGCCTCCTTAGTATCTTGAGTCTACAAAAACGATATTGAGAAAAAAGTGAGGATTAGAGAGGTGTGCACAATTTACTAAACCATCGTCAAATGCGATGTGAGCAAAGTGCAACTTAACATTCAAAAATTTAATTTAAACTTAAAACTATTGCATAAAACTACACAATACCACAACACAATTGCAAAACTACCAAAGCATACTGTTGGCGTAGACGTCCTCAATTTTCACGGGACTTTTCTCGAAAATAGTTTCTCCGGCATCATCAAAGATGGCATACTCGCCACCCCTAGACTTGACAACCGAAGGAGGCAGTTTATCGGAGGCAATGGATGAAATGGAGCTGTCCGATGAGTCGGTGTCATAACCCTTCGGTCGTTTCTGTTTTTTCGGCATCTCCATAGCCTTTCTGTATGATTGTATACGCGTACGGAAGTCCGAACTTTGACCCACGATCACGACACGACCGTAAAGGCCAGAAATGGAGGAATTTGATGACATAGCGGAGCTAGGTCGTGGCTTGGCGGCATGAACAGCTCCACTGTCCTGTTTCGTTATGCTAAAGTAAGAGTCATAGGATTGGTCGCGACCGTTAGCTGGTGCAACTGCATAAGCAGGTGCCTGCTGCTCAGCCATGATTGTTGACACCTGAAGGTCTCGAGTTGGAGAACTCAGTGAATCCTGCTTAGGTTTGGTTTCACTACTATCAAAAGCGGTTGAACGGTGGCGATATCTGCGTGTACCACCAGGAGAAATAGAGCTCCAGGAAGATACTGATTCAGCTCGGTGTCGAGATGAGCGATGGTAATGTCTGCGGCTTCCACCAGGGGAAACAGAGCTCCAGGAATCGAGAGACTCTGTGCGTTGAGTAGGAATAGGGGGACCAGAAGCGATGTGATTTGCTTCAACCCTGCTGACGTCAATGGAGATGTGGGCTGCCGTAATTTGCAATGGGTAAGTCAAAGTTTGGCCGCCACACATAGTTTCAATCAAAGAACTGCTCTTTAGAGTCGGTTCGTCACCGCAAAGTTGAGACGCATAACGGCAGGTGTCGCTTGGCTTAGCGGTGATACTAATAGCGGTATCGTCATATTCATCCGTATCAAGGCTCATTTGAGAGGAGCTCCTCTGCTCCGTCATCTCGGGGTCCGTATTAACACCTTCCGAGATACCGGTTTCTTCTGGCTCGCTTTGCGAAGTACCTTAATTTAGATAAGCTTCATGATAATTAAAAAGTTCCTTGACACACGTTCGACACGCCTACTTTGCCTCAAAGACAAATAAGTGAATTCAAGTTTTACACAGAGATTGATCCTCCTACTAAATGCTGTATTTGCTGATGAATGAAAGCGGTGATAGAATGAATCTCTGGTTTGCTATGGCTATTTCCAGGAACACAAAATATGAACTACCGTGCTTTCTCGACATAAAGCTATTTCGCACATTAAGTTAAACAACAATTTTACGCGAAAAATATGCATAATTTCAGCTTTACTGGAAGTGCTAAGGCATTTCTGCTTTTTACCCCTAGAAATAAAGCAAAAGCGGACAAAAACTCACTCTTCTTCTTCTTTCCCTTTTTGAAGATCTTTCTGAAGAAGCCAGAAACGCGGTCTCGTTTGCGCGTCTTTTCTTCACCCTCATGACCCTTTTTGGCCTTCTTGTCTTTATCCTTACTCCTCACCACAACTGAGGCGGTCGCAGGCAAAGTGGCGCTCACACCAGCACCCGATGTTTCAAGACCCGCTCCACCAGAGGCGGGCAGCGTCGCCGATTTCGAACCGTAAAGGTTTGCATCAGTAGAGATCGGTGCTGCAGCGTGCACTGCATTGTCCTCGTGGGTAGGTTCTACGGCAAAATCACCACCGGTACTGAGACGACCAGATGTGTTTAGAGCATTAAGGCTATCCGAGCTATTTGAGCTCATGGAGTGGCTACGGCCCTTTGCGACGCTGCTGTAGGGCATAGGCTGAGCATTTCTGTTAGTCTCATCCAGCCGCCAGGGTACATTAATGCCATTTTCACCGCATAGGGGAATACCACCGGTAGAGGAATTTCCATGAACCCTATCACGTCCCTCATCCACGAGGTTGGAGGCAATTTCGGCGGATTCTCCTTTGAGGAGGTTTTTCTTCTCTTTGGTGCCCATAGTGCCGGCCACAACGGCAGATTCACGCACATTAATATCTTTTTCCGGTGGTTGTGAGTGCTGAACAGCGTCTGCTGAGCTGTGAACTAAAAGAGCCTCGTCCTCCCAACTGGAGTCTAGCCTCGTCTGATAGGTCCCTGCGGGCGTGTCTGGTGCAGTTTCTAGGTTATAGGAACCCTGTGCACCTATGATGGGCATAAAGCTCTTTTCAGCGGTGGAGAGTAGGTCGTCCTGAGTCAGTTTGAGGGGCACTGTTGTATGCTTGCCAGTATAAGTATCGTAATCACCTGACATGCCACGATTGACCCCAAAATTATCAGCAATCTCCGCCGAATCTCCCTTTATTTTCCCTTCCATCTCTTTCCTTTTGTGTTCTTCCTTCACTACATCAATTGTTTCCCCTCCAGCGCTTGTTAGATGAAGGGGAATATCAAGGGTAGGATCAGTGTAAGTGAGGCTTTCGATTGAGTTTTTGACCCTAGCGGAACTATCCATCAGCCGAGCAGCAATAACAGGCGATTCACCCTTAATCTTTGGGGATTTACTTTTCTTTTTCGTTTTACTTTCCTCTCTAACCACAGCAATATCCACACCAGCTTCTAAGGAAGCACCACTCGATGTCGATGTCAACGATGCACTTCGACTTCGCGATCTACTGTCACGGCCGACCCTGGGACTTCTGTTTTGGCTGTCGCTACTGCGTGAAGTCGATCTACTAGCCATAGCGAGTTCTGTGTCAGACTGTATTTTATGGTAAGTTCCGCGTTTTACTTCATAGGACTTCTGTGCTTCCCCCAGGTCGTAGGAGCCTTTGGGATGGGGACCCATGAATGAACCACGTGAGGCGGTGTGTGAAAAAGTGGGTGTCGAGGCCTTAGGCTTTTTGTTGGCAAGCTCGACCGATGGGGCTTTCATCTTTTCAGACGGAGGCTCTGGATTGGCATATTCAGCACTGACATTCCTCTCGGTCACCTGAATGGTACTTGCACCAGCACCACCTTTGTCCGAAATTTTTTGTGATTCAAGGTGTTTCTTGCCAAGGGCTGACTTCTTTTTCGACTCCTTTTCTGACTTTGGCTCCTTTTCTCCCTTTGCATTCTTCCTTGATCCCTTGCCAATATGGATTCCCCCAAAATGACGCTTCTTCTTATCCTTACCTTCACCCTTTGCATTTGCATTGTCCGGTGGTGAGGAAATAGACCGCGATTTCTTGCTTCCACGGAGAAGGCTGAATCGCCTCTTCTCTTTCTCCGACTGCATGCTAAGATTTGGTACCGACGTGGCTCCTGTTACAACAAAAGCTCCTGTGCCATCCACGCTAAGTTCACGGCCCCCCTTTTCTACCCAAACATCCTCTAAGCTTCCCGCGCCATACTGATTTTCCTCTTGAACAGCATCTGGAACAGAGGTTTTAGAGCCTTTTTTCAAATGCAGTTTCTCGCGAAGGCTTCTGTGCTTTGAATCAGTGGAACGCTTCCCAGATGTTGGTAGGCTTGAACCTTTACCTGGAGTTGTTACATTAGACGCGAGCGCATCAACTGACGGACCAGAAGAAGCTTGCACAGGTTCTGCTGCAACAGTGCTCTTTATGGTGGGTTGCTGGTCAATTTCAGCGTTCAATGGCAAAGAAGCCTCCTCCCGAGTTGTTGCCAATGCTGGTTTGTTTCGAAAACTCCCGTGGGCTGGTACCAGAATGGGAGACTTAGGCTTGCGATTTGAAGAGCGCCGATTTTCAGAAAGTCGTGTGAATCCAGGTGTAGCCTCGGGTGCCATGGCAAACTGGTTTTGCTCTGACAGCGACGTGTTGCTGTGAATAGAAGCATCGTTTTCACTGCACAAGTCCTTGAATTCAACCCCCGTGAATTCAGCTTCACCGTCGATAGATATATGAGTAACCAGTGGCAGTGGAATCAGGTGCTTCTGAATACACAAACGACTCCCGTTTAAATAGATCTAAAAGGCATTTCAACATCAAATAAGAATAGTCTCTCAATAACAACACCGTTATGCAGAGTATATTTGTGTAACTATTTGCGAATTGTCGATTTTTCAAGGAAATATTAAGTCAATATGAGATCTTTTACTTTTGTTATTTATAGGTGGCGATAAAATTCGTCCAAGACCAGAATAAGTTCGGTTTCTATTAAAAAGTTTGAGCAATGCATGTAAATGAACCCTTTATTAATTTAATAAAAATCAAGCCAGTGAAGTAGGTACATAATTTTATGTGTAGATTATTTTAAAGGGAGAAATCAGACTGACATTCACAATATGTAGTGACATTTGTCTTGCAGCTTGATCTATCTTTTACCAGGATTCACTGCAATTTAAAGAAGCCTAATGGAATGAGGGAACTCACTTCAAAGGCTGAATCGAGGGCAATGATTCGAATTTCGAAGTTCTCCTTGGGTACAGCGGTGCCCGATTGCGTCTGACGCGGCACCGTCTGGCTGAAGGTCATAGCAGTCCAGTTCCCTTTGTTGGTGAGGGTGAACTGCAGTGGGAGAGCAGCATTTTCTCCATCCCGAACGTACTTATCCGCCAAGACCTCAATTACAATCCTGAAGGGGAGAAGAGAAGTTACATTGTTTAAAATATCTTAAAATCAAGTACCGTAATTCTGAGTAGGAACGTCCTCATAGCATAAATCCTCTTGCAAACAATTTACGGCATTTACTCTTTAATATTGCCTCGCGTCATTTTACTGAAAAAACGACGCATACTAGAGTCAAATGAAAGCTATCGCTAATTTGGATTTCAAGCAGGATAAATTCACATTTGAACAGCATCGAAAAGTTCCGTAGAGCAAGATGGAATCGTTAGATTATAGTACTTTGAAATTTCACAATTAATTAAAATTAGTAAGGTTTCTCGAGAGTTAGTAATTACTTTTAGTAAAAATTTTGCTTACATAAGTTGAAATATTTCTAAACTTTGTACCTTGGATACAGTTTAAATTCAGCTCACTTTGACGTGGCATTAAAATGCGCTAGTGTACAGCTGCAGGTAAGTTTAGTGCACCAGGTAGATGTCTCAATGATTTGGCAAAAATACAATATTAAAATTTATGGTAGTATTGAAAAAGCAGCTAGTCTTGGGGATCTAATTCTTGAATGGGGTCGTTAAAGCAAACATGAGGTAGGGACAACTTACTTCTCTCCATAAAAGTATCCCGTTATTTCGATAACATCTTTATCCAAAAGGCCTCCCGGAATTTCATAATAGAAGCAAGGATCCTAAGATGGAGGGAACGAATGTTTACTAACAGGCGTACTTTCGATATGGATAATTGCTTATGGGTAAGAGCATTATCTTGATTATTGCTGCGCGACGATGACAGCTTTCGTATTTTGCTTCAGGATGCTATGAGGGTAGACCAATCACCAGAAATATGACACTACTTAAAAGCAAATAAATTAGATCAAAAAAGCATACCCTGGTTGTCATTTAAGAGAAAAATAACTATTGGATCACCTTTAGATGCTTGATTTTTTCTGGCATCCTTACAGGAGTGAATGAGGCTAATAATATTGTATATTATTGCTTGTTCGCGTATAATCTTAGCAACTTATATGTATATATATGTATATTAAGAAGAGCATAAAGTAGTCTTTTCGACGTGGATGACACACTGTGGCAAGGAAATACGGGTACTTCAAAGTTTATATTGACCTCATAGGTAAAATTCAAATCAGAATTTTTCAGAGCAATTTATTTAATGGAATATAATGTCCCGACTTTAACCTGATGTGGCAGGTGAGAATTCCATATGAGCCTGGGACGTAAAACTAAATAAGATTTCAGTCCAAAAGTTTCCACCTACATAATACGGCACTTCAAAAACCTACACCAGAAGCTCCCTCCTCGCTATGGTAATCATCCATATCGGTAGATCAGCAGTAGATTTCTCCAGAAAACCTACAATATGAAATATGCAAAACTGTTTACATAAATCTACTACAAATACTTAAAAATAGTTGGAATGGAGAGGTTATTTTAACCTAATATGAACTCACTGGTGTAAAATAGGCGCAAATTCAAATTCAATGCGTAGATTGGTATGGATTGTGGTTGGATCTTTTGTGGAATTAGTAGAATAAGTGGACCTTATGGAATATCAAGATCAAAATCAGTAGATTTTTATCCACCTACACCCAATATAGGTGGCGGCACTACGAGCTTAGATTTTGGTTCACACTTTAATCTACCTCAAAATCAGCTACGTCTTAACCTTCTTTCTTCGGGTTGCAGTGACTCGATTATATAATAGCCTTTTTAGAACAAAAAGTTGGATCGGATTATATTTGAAGCAGATAGAAAACGTTGACGATATCAGTTTTATATGCTAAATTTCAATCCCGGTTCCCCAATCACCTTTATGCTGAAATGGATTGCAAGGCACTCTCAGAAAATGGAGGAGGGCACATAAATATAAGTTGTGGTCAAGGTATGTAGGTTAACAATCAAGTGAAACTTACGAAACAGGTGGATCGATAAAGATGGTTGTGAGTGCAAGTTGAAAAGTCTGAAAACACCAGGAAAAGGCTTTCTTGGGTGAGCGTGCACTCTCTTTTTGGTGCTCTGAAAAGTAAAGCTGACGATAGCACTTCAGGTGTCAAATAGCTGCTCAGAGGTGGTCATTGATTGGAGCTCAGAAGTCTGCACCACTCATGCATTGACCAATCGGTAGCCCGATGTGTCATCGCTTACACACACGCACACGCACGCCGCGATGTGGATGTGTGTGCACATACACGCGTTTCCGCGTGCTGATCGCGTCTCTGCTCACATTTCAGCATCACGAGAACAACACTTCTTACCTCTGTTGATACAACCAAGCACGGGTTTCACGCCACCCGCAAGCCAATATCTCCTCCAAATTTATTCAGTCTTTGAGTTGGCAAACTCGAATGCCTGTGTGCGCGCCTATGGGGGTTAGTGCTGTGAATGGCCAGGTTTCCCACTTTGCTATTCGATTCTCGGCTATCCTCAATACAACATGCGTATGCATATTCGTGTGGTACCATACCAACGCGTAGACGCATGAGTCAGTATTGACGAGATTGAGGAGAGTTGAGACTTCAAAACTGAGAGCCTAGTTACTAACCAAACATACTTTAACGGGCCGTCAGTCATCCGAATCAGATCTGTGGTTTATGAAAGTCTTGAAAATACCTATTTAATCCTCGTAATAAACAAACTTCTGGACCCAATCGGTTGTGAAGCATTATTTTGTCACAAACAGCAAAAGAAGTTACTATGCAATTTGAATGAAATTCTATGGCAATTGTGCTAGACTTCGTGTTAATCGAATAAACCACTTGGACTTTAGCTAGGTTCAACTTTCATCATCGAGAAGATGTCTGCCTTCTGTAATTAAGTAGGATTATCAAAGGTATTTGATGCTATATCAGAAGAAGACTGACTATTTAGCTTATGACAGCATTTGGAAAATCATAATTTTCACAATTTTTTGAAACTCGGTGTTGTGGGAGGTCTGTGCAATTATAGCAAGTTAAAGAGAAATGAGATTACATCAAAAGAATTACTGGCCCCGATAATGATTCCTGTGACGTCTGTCTGTAGATAGAATAACTTTTACTTACGAAACCCTAGAGCTGTCAATTGTCGCATTAAGCAGACAATTCCCATTAGTTCACATTTAAGCAGAGAAAACGTGGCTTTGTTATTGTAAGGAAAGGCCTTCACGAGTAATTACCTGCGTTGAGTAAATAACACACCTACAAAACTTAACATTCTGTCTCAAGTACCGATTTCTACCTTTTCGATTGTATTCCAGAATTCCCTAATATGCTTCTCGCCGATGAAATCGGTATACAAGATAAGTGTCGAATGGCAAGAGGGTAATCACCTCCTATAGGGTGGGCCTATGCAATGTCCCGCCTGAGTCATATGTTTGTTCATTTTCTTTAATTTTGCATACCAGAATGTAAAATTCAGTAGATAATGTAAGGACTATAGGCATCACTTTAGTAAATTTCAGTGCCGTTACATTTTACTTAACCGGGCAAAAAATTTATAGGCCATTTAAGTGACACCTTGAAATGAATGATGGGGAAACAGGAAATTGATCATTCGCCACAATCAAGGATATTTCAACTCAGTGGAATTTACGTTTTATTTAGTGAAGTTGGGTATGATTAAAAAGTATTACACATTAGTAAATGCCCAAATAAACCGAAATTCTAAAGAAGACGAAGCCGAGGAAAACATGGGCTTGCCTCGTAGCGTGGAGATTTGAATCATGGATGTCAAATCAGCTTCTACGACGCTGGTTGGATCAACTCACATTGCTCACCAATCACCCACCACGTTCCATAGGACCATAGGAGCTAGGATAGTGCACTTAGCTAATAAGGTGGCGACTGAAAATGGTGTCCTAAGAGCATAGCTGAATAATGGATAAATTACTAAAGACTTAAAATAGTTCGGCTGAGAGGCTCAAAAAATATTAAAGCCAGGGTATACACATGCGGTAAATGCTGCACATGTAAAGACGTGAAATGCGATGAAGTGCGTACTTTGAGTAGTTGAACCCCGGAAGACTGGTCCAGACTGGGTCACATAGTCTGGGGGTCTTGCATTACAAAAGTCATGCCAATACACTTCACCGAGGCTAAATGCGGTAAGCACTCCCATTTCGCTTGTCCACTGTGAAAACGACGGTGCTCATCGCCTTGGTGAATTCTCATGTGCCCCCAAGTCTTATTTTTAATTGAATTAGAAAAAAAAGAGAAACTTTTTTATAAAAGAATAGGCATGATCGTATCAGCAAATTGCTATTAGTGGATCCATTTCACTCGAGATTAAGCGATATAAAAATGTCGAAACACAATTTTCAAACAACACAAAATTCCCGAGTCATTCATTATTAGGAAAATATGGAGTATTTTGAGTTAGCACAAGTTTTTAAAAATCGCCAGGTCACTGGTGTGACATGCTGAGGCACATTAGAAAATATAGCATGCGATGGTCTGGAGAATAATATTTGTGGCCCGATAAGGTTAAGACAGCAATTTATTTGTTCGCTATCGTCAAGAGATGGTTCTAGTGCGCCATCGTTCAGCACGGAGTACTTTTAGCGCACCCTTTGGTAAGTTCACCACATCGTGAAATTCACATTTCTACTATGGCTAACTGACAAGGTATTTGCAGGCCGTACACAGCCAAGCACACTCCACACACACTCAGATAGGCATACAGCAATGCATAAAACAGGCAGAAGTCCCGACAGACGCGAGGAAGCAGGAGGCAGCATTTGGGATTCCAGAGAAAACCGTTTCCTCCTGTGTCTTATTGCTTTTATCGTGATTCTCTGTAATGGGAACATTTAAATTTGGAAACAATGTTGTTAAGACTTTTAACATGCTTTAATCCGATTAGGTTAGTTGACATGGTGGGGTTTAACAAGTCAGGATCTCAAGTGACGTTAAATATGTACGGATCCGTAAATAAGAAATATATAAATATAAAGCAGCAACTATCCTTAAAGCCACGGAACAACCCTCTCGACGAATTGATGGCGGGGTGTGTAACCCCAAAACTATCCATTTTTAATAATCACATAATTATTTTCCACGGCACCGATTCTTTACGTTCCCATGAGATAAAAATGCTTGAAATCAATGAACACTAGTGAATTCAATGCGTACAAATTAAAATGTCCCTACATGGCGTTTCTCACATTTAGTGTCTCATACGAGATGAGTCGGGATTTTGCAATACTATTTTCACCTATGAAAGAGCTCCCTCGCTTTTTCATACGTTTGTGACACACAAGGGCAGCTCCCACGCGTGTGGGGGTGTCACTGTTGCAAATACTGATTTAAGAGTTTATATTTGGGTTTTCCGCGAACGATCCATGAGACAACACCAGTTGAGTTGAGAATGGCTCAAATTGGAGTGTGTATTCTCCAGTCATGTGATTGCTTTAGGTTCTTACTCCCGTCACGTGTGTGTATGCGTGCCATTTCTTCGCGAGATGTTGTTGGAACGCTAAAAGGGC